GTAAAAGCTGTCACATTAATTCTCCGAGTAACAACGTCGTTAACTTTGAAATATACTTGAAGACGAGAAATGAAATCTGCATCGAGTTTAAAGGAACACGCGGCAAGGCCAAAAGTCCGACTGACGCGATCTGCATGCCAGCGTTCGTTCTTTCGCCCGTGCGAAAGATCGAACGATAAGCTTCGTTATCGTATCATCGAATGTTCGCCCATTAATCATCGTTTGCACGTATTTTCTTTCGGCAATTATTCTTTTTCCTTTTGGCAACACGACCGGTTCCGCGCCTCCAATCAAACACAATGAAACTCCCGCGAGAATATACGGCATGCTTGCAACGCAACTATAACAGTATGAAAAATGATCAATACTTATTGCACGTATTGCATATTTCTGACGAAGCGATCGCAAAGTTGAGTCGTTACTTTTAATCAAAGTATAAGAGCGACGTTTGATGGATATTTCTTAATACCTGATTTCTTTAAATTATAAAGAATCGAAGGAAATTAATGTAAAATTTAGATTGGAAAACACAACGCAGTTAATTGATGTCGTTATATCTTTCGGAAGTAATTTCGATCTATCAGGTGATAAATTACTAAATCAAGAAGATCCAAATGGTTAATGATACTTGAAACGAAATGTTCTACGGTCTGAACGATTTTCGAGCAAATTCGATCTTAACAATTCCACGAGAAACAAACAAATCGCAACGACTCGGATCTTTAAAAAAAAGGATCCTTTCGCGTGAAAGCGCGAAAGATTGAAAAGTCAGTGGAGGCGGTTTCACTTCCATCGGTTTTAATTTCACGAAAAGCGCAAGACGGTCGGCTACGCGACGCGGCGTCGAATAAATTTACGATCGATACACCGACTTTCCGTGATTTGTTGCCCATCTCGCTTGCCTCGCGCAACTTTCGAAAAGAAAAAGAGAAAAGAACGAAAGAAAGAAAGAAAAAAGGGAAGGAAAAAACGCGGCGAGCGTTGAATTATCGGTGGAAATCGGTGTTGTCAGCGGGATGGTGGAGAGGAGGAGGAAGGGAGACTTGTTCCGTGAGATCCTCGAGCGACTTTATCGCAGAAAACACGGCGGCGGGGAAAAAAGCGCGGTGATCAAAGGCGCAGGTAAACGTTGTCGCGGCGAGTAGAGACCGGCGTACGCGGATCATGGAAAAAATTTGTCTTGCACAAGGGTGTAACGTTGCGGAAGAAATTAATGATCGCGGTAAATCGTCGAGGTTGCAAAAGACTCGATAAACTTTAACCTTTATCTTAACGTTGCGTACGGCGAGGGCGACGCGTAAAAGGGGTTAATCGGACGAATATAATTTTTTTCGTGCGCGTTATATCTAGTGACACACCCGTTGACACCAGCTACGTTCGAGTAAGTATACACCGGTTGGTATACAAAATAATAGGGAACGTTGCTTACGAGCAAACAGTGGATTTTTAAAAAATTGATATGGTCTTTTATAAATTTAATCCAAGCAAGAAATTCGTTGTCATTCAATCAAATATTTATCTTCAATTCCTCTAGAAGTACTTGTTGGGAGTTTTTGCATGAAGTTTGGTCGTATTTAACGTCCTGTTAAATATAATTCAAGATTCATATGATTAGACGTCAATGGTGATGGCACAATATTAATAAAGAATTTTCCATTATTTTCTTCAATACTCGTAGCAGTCGCGCTTTATGTTCTTCCACGTTTTACGCCGATGTTCGTTTGGAAATCTTGCGCCGATTTTAATGGAGCCAGCGTGTATGAAAGTATGCAATACGACTCGCAGACGGGTCTCTCAGTATGTTTAAAAATAACGAACGGTGGGTAATATACGTCTCTTTGTCGTGCTTATAGTTTTGCATATCACGTCTACGTGTCTGAACGACTGTACCAGTGCTGCGAGACACAACACAACTGGTTTTATAAACGTTAAACGCGATAAATGGATGTCAGCATGAAGAACAACGATAGTGTTGTCAATTACAGATTTGCAATCGGCATGTGATACAGTCGATTGTGTGATCTGAGACGAAGAGAAGACAGCTTAGACAATCTACAATTGTATAACGAGATTTTTAAAGTTAAAGTCCCACGTGATTTAATATTCATATTAAAAAATCAAAATCATCTCACGAAGTACGTGTGTATAATTGAGGTAAATAAAATGGAGTTATTGTTCGAGACAGAATAGTAAATAATTGAAAATAGTGTCAGGGAAAATCTAAATGAATGTACAGATGTGAATTGCACGTTGATAATTGAATTATTATATTATATAATATTCACACATAATAAAGTAAACTAAAATATTCATACATAATATAATTATTATATATAAACTACCAAGTAATTGAATTATTAATAATTCAATTAAATAGAACTCAGGAGAAAAATAGAATTATCGTAGAAAATTACGATTCAACCAAGTCCAAAGACGATTCAATGAAATTTTCATCCGTTGTGGTATCACTATCGCTGTTGCCGTCGTTGTTCGCTTTTTAACAATTACGTCTTTCGTTTCTCTCGCGTACTACGTAGAATATCATTTTGCGTGTTCCTTTTTTTTTTTTATCGTGATTGTGTTTACTTTGTGTTCACTCGCCGGATGGTCAAATGGTACAAGAACAATGTCTCCATTGCAGCGATGCTTCGGGTGAAATTTCACTTGAATCGAGCGTCGCGACGTTTACTATCATTCAAGCAGCTTCGTTGCGCTGCCAATTCTCTACCGAGGTTCTGTTCGCTCTTGAATTTAAACCTCTCGATTGTTTCGTTCAACGGCTGTTCCATCCTACAATGGCTAAATCAACGTTCGTAACGAGCAAAGAACAACGTTGAAAAATGTTTGTCTTCCTTTCTCTTAACTTGACGTATAAATAAATTCTTCGTTTTAACAGAACATAAAATTACAAGCACTCTCTCTTTGTCTTTCTCTCTGTGTTTAGAAAATATTTTTTCTCGTCGAAGTCGAAACTACTTAATTAATTAATCGTTCTTAATAGAAGTCTCTGAATAATTACAATTTTTTAATTACAATTCCAAGAATAATCTCTTCTGCAGAAAAGGATTCATTTCCCGGACATTCCTTAAATAAAATTTCAAAATTTCTAATCTGCTCCTCTGTTTCACTCATTTCTTCAAAAATTAACTGATCAGAAATGAATTATAATATACTCTCTCTCTCTCTGTCTCTGAATAATTATAATTTTTTGGCCACAATTTTTATTTCAATCCCAATATAATAATCTCTTCTTACAATTCATTCACCAATCATTCTCCAAACAAACGCAGAGTTTTTAACCTGCCTCTGGATTTCGCTAATTCCTTGCAAAGTGACTCGCCATTGTCACTGAAACGTAACGCGTCGAAACAGTTGTATACAATTCGCGGAAGTTTCACTCCGGGTAATGCAATTTGCGAGCACATTGTACACCCGGTACATTGAACAAACAGCGGACCACGTATCCAGGTTCTGACCTAGTGACACGATCCAGTGACGTCACGGGAGCGAACGAGAGTTTAGGAAGGAGCGAAAAGACTATAGTCGACTGGAGGTTGACCCATCCTTAGCCGAGGAGATCGTTTTGCGTGTACGGAGCCGATGTATCGGAGTTTCGTCGTGCCTTCGACAAGCGTCCAAGGCGATACCCGTTCGATACCGAGGGGAAAGGATGAGACAGAAGAAAGAGAGACGGCAAAAATCGATGAAGTTTACATTGTATCGAAACCATTGTAAAGTAATATGTTCTCGTGCTGCTCGCTAGTAATTTGCGGGTATAGAATTGCGCACGATCTATATCGTATATTCCTTTTTGCGCTTTTTACTGGTGTCGATTTTAGTGTAGCGTATCATGTTTTGCGGTGTAACGTGCTGGAAACGAAACGTTCGCAGACCGACGAGTAAAAATCGGTCTTGTAACGCAAATATTCGGTTACTACTTCATTCCTGTTCGGAAGAATAAATGCTTCTGTTTCTCGTGAAACGTCGGGTGTTGCGAATCGCGTGCAATATCTTCTTCTTTTTTTTTATAATAGATCATCCACGTTCCTTTGTCACAGCCATGATTATTTAATAATAAGTAATTGTCATATAATGAAGTACATTTGAAGCGTGTTAAAGTTTCAAAGGAAATAGTGACTTTTTAAAGTAAACGTATGACAGTTTTGTACGCAATTAATTATATTTAAAGGTGAAAGTTTTATTTACAACGTTCATTATTTACACACTGCGAGTAGAATTAGTTCAGTCAAAAAGAAAATAGTGCTCCAAACGTTCGAACGAGAGAATATATAATTAATTTTCGACACACTTGAAGTTGTCGTCGAAATTCAAATGACCGCACTGCATGAAAATTACGAGCAAAAGGGACCCATAAAAAAAAGCACCCATTCACTCAAAGAAAAAAAAAAAAAAACTTAACTGATCAAGCCATGCTGCATGTCGTGTCACCACCTGAAAAAGGCAAGAGCGCGCTGCTCGAACGAAAAATAAAAAAAAAGGAAAAACCGGTTGCTCGCGCGAGGCGCGAAACAAAGTCCGATAACGCTTTGTTCGAGAACGATTCGAGTTTCGACGAGCGACAAATTTTCTTTAGAACTGCGGCACGCCGCACGGTCGATCGATTCGCCGTTTGCCGATGACGATATCGCCGTAGCTCGATGGCCGTTCGACCGCCGGAAGCGCATCGCGCTACCATTCTGAACACGGTTTCGCCTCGAGGATCGATCGATAACTCGATCGGAGATCGACGAACGTCAGCCGGGTCAGCCGCGAACCGCTCCATCCTTTGTCTAAATTTCCTTTCCTCCGGGCACCGCGTTCGTCTGTCATTTGACCCAACATTTTCTCTTTTTTTTTTTTAACCTGTCACTTTCTGATAATCCTTCTTCTTTCTCTCTTTCCTCGCCCCAGAAAGACTGAGCCACGCGCGCGAAAGTCGCGACCCTGCCACGACCGTGTCCGGGTGCTCGTTCGCGGGTGATCGTTGTCCAGGGAAATTCACGAGTCGAAGGATATGAAAATTCGCCGGTCGGCTGCCGGACGTGTCTCCATCTGCGAGAGTGACGTGTCCCGCGGGCTGCTGCTTGGTTAGAAAACGCCGCACGAAGATCCCCAGCTGGATCTGTCGCCGCGCGATTTCACCGCCACGAGAGCCACGGCCGTGCACGACATCCACTGCGTCGGCAGTGGACAAGAGATTCCGCGGTGGAGATCCAGAAGGGAGACCAGGTGGAAAGTTTGGACTGAGTCGAGACACGTCAAGGAGGTATACGTTTTTATCTTTCGGATCTTCTAGTCAGCTAGACGTGGATTTTTCGGATGCTTGGGTAATTTAGATTCGTAAATTATTATCACTATTATATCATTTATATAGTGTTAAGCCACATGTTCTCTGAATAGAGATTTCTCATATGTGTGTTTTAATTATTAAGAAATGGCCACAGTTTCTAACACGATGGTGAACCACATGCTCTTTCAATAGAGATTTCTCGTACATAGTATTCTTTTGATTACGTATTAAGTTTCTAATATGATAGTGAATCACATGCTTTTTGAATAGAAATTTCTCATATGTATGCAGTTGGTATTTTTGATTATTAAGAAATGGCCACAGTTTCTAACACGATGGTGAACCACGTGCTCTTTCAATAGAGATTTCTCGTACATAGTATTCTTTTGATTACGTATTAAGTTTCTAATATGATAGTGAATCACATGCTTTTTGAATAGAAATTTCTCATATGTATGCAGTTGGTACTTTTGATTATTAAGAAATGGCCACAGTTTCTAACACGATGGTGAACCACGTGCTCTTTCAATAGAGATTTCTCGTACATAGTATTCTTTCGATTACGTATTAAGTCTCTAATATGATGGTGAATCACATGCTCTTTCAATAGAGATTTCTCATACGTAGTATATTCTTTTGATTATGTATTAAATTTCTAGAATGATGGCGAACCACATGCTCTTTGAATAGAGATTTCTCATATACGTGTAGTGTACTTTTGATTGTGTATTAAGAAATTGCAGTTTCAGGTGTAAAGATTAGGGGCTGAATGATTCCATTATGTTTTTGGTTGATTAATTAGGGAAAGTTTAAGAGCATACTTCGGAAATTTTTCTTATCTCTTTCTCGTTGCAAGTAATATATAATATTTCTTTTATATTTTTTTATAGTGTTATAATATTTATTATATGAGTAAAGTTTTATTTATATAGTATCTCTGGTCATTCGACTTTCTCCAGAGTTCAAGGATAATAGTGGTTGTCCAACAGTTCAATGAGAATCTAATGCCCATACATGGTCTAACGTCTTTCTATCCGACGTTACGAAAAATTTAGATTTTTTGCAAAAAGATTTGCAGAGTTATATAAGACATAGGTAAAAATCATAGATTTTCATGTAAAAGAAGACTTTGTCATTAGATATTTAGTAGATATTGAAAATCTCGGAAAGTATAAGGTTGATATAATATTCTTTCTAATCAGTTAGATAATTTGTTACTATATCATCGATAATACTTTCATAAAAAATTTCATATCATAGCTAATAGAATTGTAATTCATTTACGAAGACTATTTGATTCATCCTTTCAATTGAAATAGGTACCTACTATCATTTGTTCGTCTCGTCGCACATCTTAATTTGAACGTTTTATTATTATCCTTTGCCTATTATTATCAGTTTCCAACCTAACAGAGTGTACGAACATTGTACACTTGAAAAATTTTCCAAAGTCCGAACAGCTGTGCAAAATAAAGATTAACGATAAACGTAACGAGGTGAAAGTACACCCGAAGGGAATCAGGAATAACCAAAATTTGTGCGTCACTCGTTTCCTAGGGAACGTGAAAGTCATACCCCTGGGTAGAAAGTTTCGAAATGGAGATGAAAAAAAAGAGCGAAAACGCTTGAGCTACCAAGGCACATCCGTGACACAGTTTTACAGCTTTGATCGAGCACTGGCCTTGGTTCGAAATATTTAAGCGGATACGTAGTAAAGTTACTTTACGGACGTGCATGTCACTATCAGGAATATGATGAAACCAAGGGTTCGTTCATAGAAAAAAGAAAAAAAAAAAAACCACTCCCAACGTCAGGAACAAATCGTCGATATGTTTGCCTGCTTGCTCACAATGCAACGACGTCCACATAAAATTTAATTGTAAAAATCATATACGTTTCTGAAACTACTTTCATCATTTACTCTATCGTATTTTATTTTATTCGATACTTGATTTATGTCACCGTTGTAAAAGAGCTGGAGGTAAATTTCCGAACGAGTAGATAAAGTGACTCCTACCTGAATTCCGTCTTTTCAATTTATAAAAATGTAAAGCTGTACAGATGTAATTTATTCTATTCGGTATGACAGGTACATATGAACAACATAGTTTTGTAGTTTATGTATTATTTGGATGTTTCGGAAGATAAAAACTGTGGATAGTGTTTCGGTAGAAAGATGAATGATTATTTTTATATTTTGCCTATAATCTAGAATTTTTATCTATTATCAATAACCACGTGTAATTTCCAGGCATATACTGCTAAAAATGAATCTCTAGTAACGTAAACTTGAATCGATCTTTCTTATCCAGCTTTCTACAGCCAAATATCTCGATAAATGTTCAAACACCATTACTAAATATTTCACCAGGAACACCCCATTGCAACCACCCTCTTATGATATCCCATACTTTCCACTCTCAAGCTCTCAATCCTTTTGATTCAACATAAACAATATCAGCCAAGAGTACATACGAGTAATCTCAACGATCCTGTTCGTATTATCAAACTCACAGAATCGTGCGTCAACGCACGATATCGTAACACGTGGTGTGCGTGGAAGAAAGTCGGTGCCCGAGCAGAACCCCTTTCTAGGTCTCCAGTTTCCAAAGAGTCGGCAACGTTGAAAGCCGGCGCGATAATGGAAAACACCGGACGCTGATGTATCTTAATAAGATAATGCCCTTTATGCGCGTTATTTATTGCCGATTAATCGGCGTTCCGCGTGTGGAAACGAGGCAAAAGGGAGTGAAAGAGGCGAGCGTGCACCATTTAAGGTGTTCCCCTCGAGGCGGCTCTCGGAGAGGATCGCCGCGCCGTGCCTCTCGCGTCCAAGTCACGTCGTTGCGGCCATGTCGTCGCGATATATCAGCCGATCAAGGAAGCCTCGAGACGTTTCGCTTCGCAATTTACCAGCCCCGCCGTATTTTTCTCCGCCGTCCTTATCGAGACGTGTCTCACCGTGTCACGGTCGCCTCGACATCGCCGCCTTTATCTCGAATGTATCTCTTCGGCTGCTACTTGACCTCCCCGTATTTTCAGCGTTCCCCTCCGACACGATATCAAATCTTCTTCACCCTTCGACGGCGGGAGAGAAGGTCGTAGGTGTCCACCTTCTTTGAGATCTGTCATCGCAATCGCTCCTTCCTCCTTTGTTTTTTCTTCTCTCTTTCTTTTCCTTCCGTGTTCCAACGGCGGTGATTCTAGGACAGATGTCGTCAACGATAGTCCCTTGTCGAACAACGAAAGCCAGTGCTCTCGAAGGAAGAAGACGCGGGAAGGGATCGGAGAGTTTTACGAGCACTCGAGAAATTGAATTTGCCAGGGACGCTTGGTTCTCAACTGCGATTTTTGCGGTTTATGGCTACTCGGTCTCGCTACCTCGTTCGTGGACGGTGCTTCGAATTAAAGTGGAAGGAACGCCGGAGTTCCCTGCGCTTTCCAGAAAGGAAACGAAACGAAACGAAACGAAAGTCTCTTGTTTGTAGTTTTCTTGAATTATTGCCGTTCCGTGGGTATTCAGTTCGCAGCATTTTTCTTAATCGTTCTTGCGTCGCGTGTTTTTCGCGAGAGATCAAGGCTATTGTTAATGTTTCTTGGGATAACGAGAAGTATTAATACTCGAGGAGGTATCTCGAAGAAGGAACGAAATGAATGATAAGGTAATGAGTTACGTCGAAAGTTTCAGTTCTGGATTTTTGACGTCGGTATAATGATTCTCGAAGAATTTAATTCTCTTTTGTGTTTGTAAAATAAATACAAACTTTTTACAGATTTTTTTCTTTTCCAAGAAGTACGTTCAATTCGAATAATTAGATAAAAAAATATCTAACTTGATGCGTGAACCTTCTCATTGATTTTTAAATTCATGTCGACAAACTACGCCGATATATTAATTATATGGATTTAGTTAAAAAAATGTATCTTTGTGAATGAACTATGTACACACAGAACGTTTAACTCGAGAAAGTCAGAAAAATCGCCGGATGTTCCTCCACGCTTAAATTTCGTCACTCAATTACACATTATTACACGCGAATTTTTCTCGTTGCCTCCGTTTCATCTGCAGTCGTTTCCAGTTAATCAGTACATGCTTTACACACGATTGAACACGAAACTGAACAGAGTACGTAATCTTTCAGTCGCCCTCCGCGTTCTTTGTTTCTCAATTCTCTCTCATTTCGTCGGGCCATTTATTCTCTTTCTCGTTCACGGTCGTGCACCATTCACGTTTATTTTCAATTAACCACGGCACATTTAATAAATTAATGCCCGGTGTTGGAATTTAATCTTCGTTTTCCAGCCTTCGCATCTTTAATTTCTCCGCGTTAAACACATTAATTTATCCTTGGACCTCGACGTTTTCGTTTCATTTACTCTTATTTGAAAGTAAATGTAGGTACATTCTCGTTCACAAATATTGCGCTACGAAATGAAGATTTAAATAAACTTGAAAATTTTTATATGTTATGCTATTATATTAATACGTTTGAAACGTTAACACTATAATAATAATTTGGTCAGTTTAGTGTAAAATCTTTTAATTACTATTTTGACCAATTATTTGTTATTTAATTTGAACATGTACAGATTTTGAACGAACTTCCTGAATTTTTCTATTCAATTCACTTGAAATTTTTCATCAGGTGTTACGAAAATTTAACAAAAATTCTAAGATGTAACGTGTAATTAATATAATTTAATAATCGGAATTCTTCCAAATAATTTTAGTTTTACAAAATTTTGCCTCGTGCTTTTACAGTAGTTACCATGTATATAACAATTTCGCTTTATTGCTACACATCAATACTTGTATTTATATAGAATGTATAAATATCCAATCGATTAATCCTCTCTGCAACGCTTTAGATTAATTATTGCATTTCGCATAAAACCACCAAGACCCAACATACTCGCGAACGACATTGTACCTACGTGCATACTGCTAATTACAAAAAAAAAAAAACAACTCTAATTTCACGCATTAATAATTTCAGTTGCACACGCTCTGTTAACTCGCATGTTAGCCGTAATTGCAAAAATTCCAATTTCATTTATCCATCGCACGGTGTATAGGCGTACACCTATATTCACGATGATCAAGTAAAATTTATTCTCCTGTTTCAGCGAGTTTCGTTCCCAACGCCAAGCGTAATATATTTTAACGCATTCGACACTCCCATACCTCCGATTCGACCTGTCATCCGCAGCCCTGTTCACCCTTCTCCCCTTATTTCGCGTCCTGGCGAGATGTGAAGTCATCTCTCGTGTTTCTCAAATTTTTCCTCTTTTCCATTCGTCGAGACGTCCTCTCACGACTGTTCAGGACACCCGATATATCATTTGGCTCGCGTAGGCAGTTAAAGTAGTCGCGAAAACTCCCCTCCAGATTCGAGCTGTCCTCCGCATCGCCACGGTTCTTTATAGGTCGGCTCTTTTTTCCCCATTCTGAAAGAGCGAACTCGTTACGTTGGCCACGTAACGAAACGCAGCCGCTCTTTCATCGCCGTCGACCACTATTTGTCAAGTTCCGCCGGTTGGAAAGGCCATTAACGTACCTCCTTTTCCTTTCGCAACGACGGCTCTTTGTTCTTATCTAGTTGACTATAACAGCTGAGAGTTTCTGGCTCGCGTTTCGCCGGGCCCGTGTTATCAATTTTTATCGACCGGGCAACTTTCCTGTCGTAAATGGCAGGCCACTTTCAGCCTTTGATCCGCGGAAGCCGTGCCTCCTTGTAATCCGTCGACGCTGAACGCCGCGCGATTTCGCCAATTATCTGCAAAAGACTATACACCGCTGGTTGTAACTTTGCAACGATACTACGCTGCTTACAAAAATTAGGGGATACGAAGCGATGAAAAAAAAGATGCATTTGATTTTTTTTTTTTAATTGAATAAGAGAACGCGTTAGAAAAGAAAATAAGTTAAAGAAAGTTGTTCTTGTTTAATAAGAAAAAAAATCAAATGCTTCTTCATATTCATTTTGAAACATCCCCTAATTTTTGTAAGCAGTGTACAATTGTCAAGATTATGTTACCAGTGATCTTATTTTAGTTTCTTAACTTGAGTTTCTGAGAAACTTTGATACTGTAGCAGCATACTGTACTCTGTTGTGGTTGGATTTCCATTTATGGGCATTAAGAGCGATATTTGAATTAAAAAATAAATCGTCGTTCGAGTTTAGTTTCCAACGTTACGATGACTGTAATACTGTTGTCCTTTTTAGAAGTATTCTCGTTTGGCATTAAACGAAATTTAGGGTTCGTGCAGTAAAGAAACAAGATAAGAACTAGACTGCAATTTCATATTCCTGTGAAAATAATTAAAAAAAGTAGGACTTACATTTCTTTCTTTCGCCTGTTTCAAACATTATGACAGACATTTTGGTAAAATACTTGGTATTTTTTAGCACTGTCAAATTTCTCATAAATGCATAAAAGTCCGCAGTGTAATTCACATAAAATGAATTCACGGTAATGAATAACAGTGTAGAAAAGACCTCATCAATCTCATTAGCCTCGTAAGAAAGAAAATTTTCATTTTCGTGGACAATACGACTACGACCGTCTTGTGTCAGTTGAAGAGCTTCCTTCTAAAAATTCTTTCCTCGAAACCCTCGAATAACGCTTTTCTTTTGCTTCGGTAAATTATCTTTCTCATCGCGTATTCCGTTTGCATCGTTCAAGCGTGGAACGAAGTTTCTTCCGGTCTGTTTTGCCCCGCTTGGAATTGAGTTTTTGCAGGTCAGGAAATCGATCTAGTTTTTCCAGTGTGGACCCTACCATCTGCGTATTTGTTTCGGAGGTTTTTTAACGGGGATCGATACTTGTTGCGATCACGATAGTAGCTTTTCTTTGATCAGATAGCCTGTTTGTCCCTGGTAAAGTTCTTTTGTTGCTTGTTCTACATTATCGTTGCCGTCTTTTTTTCTTTTTTTTTTTTTTTTTTGAGAGATTGATCAGAGTTTCTCGTCTTTCATTAGATCGAACCTCGTCTTTGTAGATTTACAAGTTTCACGGTACGTAAACTGTAAAATTATAGTAATCAGGAAGAGATGTTGTAACTGCTGCGATCGTTTGCAAAGGATATCTATATATAAGGTGAGCGAATTAACCTACATTTATTTTTAATAATTTTATTTTATACTTGTTATATTTTATCCATTTCATTTCATTTACTGTTTTCTTGTTTTCGTTATCAAACATTAATGATATACACGCAAATTTACTTGAATTTTTATTTTCGATAAAATTCAGATACAGTGTAAAATTATTGATTAAATAAACAAAAATATTTCCATGAGGCAGTGTATGCATGTTTCAAACATGTATATATCGTGTAATGGCCGATTTCATAAACGCAGATTCGAGTGACTGAAAATATTGTTAAATTATATTTTCAAGACGCCTAATTAATGATTTATTCAACTAAATGTCGATTGAATATCATCACAAATACAAAATTGTCTTGTGACGTTCAAAACGTACCGATTCTGACGAGCCTGAAAATTTGATCGATGTCATTTTCAAGTAATAATAAGCGTGTCAAGAACACGGCCATTTCATCCGCGATAACTCATCGTTACGTTCACGTTCATTTAATCGTTCTAACTCGCACAACGAGTTCTTTCTGCAGCAGGTTCAACTACCGTTCGGACTAAGTCACCGTTCACGGCCATTCTATGTTTCGGCCAGTCGATCGACCCCTAAGTTTCAGGCAGCGCGCCAGCGACTGGATCTATAAGGTCAGTTTTAACGGTAAAAACGCGCGGCGGCTGGCTAATGCGGAATTCTCCGTGGCGGTGCTCTTTGCCAAATGGGTCAACCGCGTATGTGTGTGTGTGTGTGTGTGTGTGTGTGTGTGTGTGTGTATGAATGTGTGTCCAGAAGGAAAAGGGAAACAGCAGTTGCGAACATAACGCGAGAGTCTACTGAGAACGACGATGTTCACGCCATTCGGGGAGCCATACAAATCTAAAACCGCGCGAATCTATACCTAGGTTCCCTCTCTAAACGAATTATCGCGGATTTAACGGTGGACAGCCTTGAAGAAAGCACGACGGTCACGAAATCGATCTTCCCCACTTCTTCTCTCTTCTCTCGTAACCCTGACTCACCCTCAGACAGTTTTCTTCCCTTCTTCTTAGTTTCATCTCGGTCAGGAGGTTGCATTTCAGAGGATGTGAGAATGGTCAGAGTATAAGGAGAACGGAGAGCGTTGATGCTTATTTCTCTTTTTTTTTCTCTTCTCTTTTTTTTCATCTCAATTCTGCGACGTTCAAAAAGTAGATACGACTGTCTTTAATCGTAGATTAAATTTGCCCCATTTTTGGACAAATTTTCAGAAATTGTACGTTATTTGCTATGTGTATATATATATTTTTTTAATTATTAAATTGACACAGTGAGGGATGTTTAATTATTAAATTGGATTAAATTTCTCGTCAACTTCTCCTTGTTAAATTACAAGTTAACACCGTAAAAAATACCGGTAGATATTTATTCGAAGTCGAAGCGACACCTTTCTATATTCTCAAAATTCTGTGGAACGCAGTGATTCCAGGAAACAAATGAAAGAAAGAAAGACAAATGACAGCTTTCCTCTCAGTCTAAAAAATATCACGCTGGACACGTGCGTCAAACGTCGAATTATCGGTCGAGCTCTGGTCGCATGAACAATAACCGAAACGAATCGAATGGAAACTCGTTAAAATTTCCTGGAGGCTGTCTCAACGGTATTCAGTCCGCGGAAACGTCGTTAGGTAGGCGGACACGTTTTGCGCTCGCTTTCGGCGACTGCAACTCATTCGCTAATTACTGCACAGCCAGGCTGCTGGCTGCGCCGGCGATTTGATTAACGAAAAATCGCGAGCCGTCAGCGACAAATGTTTCCCATAGCGTTCACCGCCGTGTCGTTCCGCTCCCGCCTCGTTACCGCTCGAATAAACCCGCGAGTTCAATTAACGCTGTGCAACGCCCACGCGCGCGACCCGAATCCTGCTTCTTAATTGGCAAATGATTTTTTCTCGCCGCGGAGAGAGAAACCCTGGACTTCGAGCGTAATTCGCGGCACCTTCGCCCGCGGATTTTCCATCTGGTCGCGCCCGGTTCGAGAAAATTGGAAAAGTTTGACAGGGTTAATGAAGTTGATCCAAGCGAGACCGATATCGATTGCGTGGAATGAAAGTGCCACTTCTGCGGATTAACAAGCATTGATTGGGACAGCACGTTCTACCGTTAGATCGAGCAACGAAAACTGTTTGAATGTGGATCGTTTAAAATCTTACAATCGAGGATTTACGGATACGAAGGGCAAGGAAACAATTTTTTAATCCCTGATATTGTTTTTAATTTTATGTTATTGTTGGACTTTTCAAAAAGGATACAGCCTTTGGGTACACTTTTTGCATCTCATACTTGTTGGTTTAGTTGGTTTAATAGTTAAAAAGAAGTTATGATTTATGTTAGTCTTCTATTAGTTCTATTGTTCTGTTATTTTCTATTATTATGCAGAGAGAGAGACGAATGCTGCATTGATTTATAGTATTACAAACATATCTGCAACATTTTTGATATTTGTAATTGCTATATACAGGGTGGAAAGGAAAACTTTGCCCGTAGTTATTATAGATGAATTCTTCGATTTGATGGAAATACATGTAAAGAATTTGTCGCAAATTTGATTGAATTTCAAGATTAAATTTTTTTTTTCGTATTGTATTCTATTTATCACGAAGGTAAAACTTTTCCTTATTAGTTCTCTTGAAAAATAGCAAAACAATTTCTTAATCATTTAACATTGCGGACGCGTGCGTCCTAACAGCGAGTTTATGATTCTGGACACATGGATGTCTATCTAATTTTCGTATTAGATTTCAATATTTGATTTATCATAGTTGTAGCATCATGCGAGCCTAAATAATCAAATGATAAAGGTAACAGTTAATATTATTCGAAATACAAACATTACCTTAACCATAAAGTCGCTGTTAGCACGTACGCGTCCGCACTGTTAAATGATTAAGAAACTTTTTTGCCATTTCTCAAGAGAATTAATAGGTTACGATCTATGGTTCCTTGGAAAAGTTTCACCTACGCGATGAATACCATGCAAAACAAATTTTGATCTTAAAATTCAATGTCAAAGTGCATTTTGCGACAGGTTCTCGCGTATTTCTATCAAATATAAAATTGAAAATATAGAATTCATTTACGATAACCACGGACAAATGTTTCTTGCCACCCTGTACAAAGTATCTCACGCACAGGGCCAAACTTATGGCTGATGAGTGTACTAATCAAACAAGTATGTGTTAATAAGTACGATCGATTAATTAAAACGAAGAAACACGTGACAACAAGTTCAACGAACAGAGTCTGACTACTAAACTTTTAGACAGTAACAACGTCATTTACTCACGCCATACTGACACACATCTGTCACTTTCCAGATGTTATTTCTCTGGTCGAGAGAGCCAGCCCCGGCACCGAGAGCCGGCCCCTGGTTCGCCTGGTTCGCCACAGCGTTGGTCCTCTGGCGTTGCCGAAGAAGCGTCGTCAAAGCGATTCTGGCCGCGTCGCCGTTGAGATTGCTGAAGAGGCGCAATCTTTTGCCGCAGACATCCTCGAAAGCCTCGTCCACGGCGACGCTGACGAAACAACGGCTGAGACCGGAAAATTCGTTGCTGCAGCGGAAACACAGGCACACGGGCGTCAGAACGAAAGTGAAACGGCTGTGCACCGGCGACGGGCCGCACGTGACCAGCTCGACATTCACGATCCAGAGCCAACAAATTCATTACAAAGTGACGAGAAGCGGCAAAATATACGGGAAATACCCGAACAAAGTTGCCACGCCGATGACCAACGGCCAGGGAAACCATTGAAGCGGCGACCCACCCCGTTCTCTCTCCGATTGTTCAACACCCGACGGCTCTCGCTTTTGTGTCCCGTTCAGTGCCCCGTTCCCGCCATTAATCGCGACTGGTTTCAACTCGGAAAGCGAACACGTGTGCATGTACCACTGTGCGTATCTCGAATTTGTTGTCATAAAGTCAAACATTTTGTCAAACGGGCACCGTTTTCTGTCTTTTCTTCGTCTATTTCGACGAGAGCTATTTCCACGAGATCGTCGAGATCTTCGCGGAGTGAGTTTGGAGCATTCGTTCGATTCGGTCGAAGTGAAATTGAAGGGAAAGGCACGGCTTTGGTCTGGCGTGAAGCGAGCCGCAGTTTTTCTTTCTCGCGGAGATTAAAACGAGGCTAGGTTTTCTTAACTTAACCGACGTGTTGGCTTCTTCCTCCGAACGAGTTTTTCAAGTCGTGATTTTTAATGGGTTGAAAAGTTTCGCGCCGAGTTTGACAGGAAGACAAAGGCGCACTTCATTCCTGGGAAAGAACAAATGCGAAGTAGGTCAGAGGCAAGTTAAACCAAGTTGGCCGGGAAGGTAAGCTTTCGCCGAAGGTGCGCGTCGAATTACGTTCTTGCATTTTATTTATTTATACATTGAAATCTTGTCGTTGGGAGAACTTGATTACAATCACCATCGATATATATTTATTTATATATCGGAAATGAAAATTTACACAAGTTCAAATCCATATAATATTCTATACTAGATGCATTTAAAATGAAAAGTTCTATTTCTAACATTTTACCACGAAAATGGAATAATTTAGAGTTTATTTATTCATATAGATAAAGATAGAAATTGTTACTCACAAATTCAATTAATCTCGTCATAAAATAGATTTCCCTATAAAATTAAAAATCCTGGATTTACGTTTCTCAAGCTTTTTATTATTTGAGAAATAATTAAATTTAATGCAACAGAGTGCTTTGTTCTTTCTATCCACCGTCACTCTACGTATCAGTTTCAAGCCGAGAAACTCGTCGAATCAAATCAATAGCCAGTGTAAAAAATCGACTTTTCGTAGCTCAAAGGAGAATCATCCCCTTTCTTGCTGACGTTTCCTCTAATTAAAATTTCACCGGGCAACGTTGATCACAGAACTATAGTGCGTTCGATTTCGAGTCACGTCAAAGAACTTGAGCAAAGGGCGCAACTATTAGTCTTCCTGCTTCTTCCTGATGTCCTCGGCACAGTTTCGAGCGTCGAGGTCGTTTGACAGAGACCTTCGCCGGGGTCACCATTGTATCCAAGATCCACGACGACCGCGAGCGAGTTGTTTCGGACTCGTGGTCCCTCTCGCGGAGAGGAGAAGATCAATAAACGTTCGGTGCGTTTCGACGACGAAGGATATCCCCTGCTATCTCGCGATATCGTTTGCATCTTGCGCAACCGTTCGTTGACTGACCGTTCTAGGTCGTTCCACGGTATATAGATTCTGTGCTCGCGCCGTCTGAGAGCAATATAGGGGGAGGTTCGCGTTTGTCGCGAAATGATTTCCGATAGTAAGCGCTCTGTCCGAGCGAAATTTGATTTCGACGCGAGAAAGGAAATTCGTTCGAGGAAGCTTTCACGCGGTGATTTCAGGATGATAACGTCGACACGTTTTATCCGAAAGATGTACGATTTTAGAAAGATATATGATCCCAAGGAGGGAAAGAGAATTTCACTTTCAAAAGTAAATCGATCGATTTCTTTCTATGAAGATCCTTCCCTCATTTGTCTCATTGCTAGTCGAACGTTGCGGCAGAGAATACTTTTTATTTGCTGCAATGGAAATATTGCTTTCGCGCGGAAGCGGAGAAAAGATGAAATGTCGGAAGTTTGAAACAATTTTACGTAAGAAATCCTGGGAGATTTAAGAATCTGGATTCTCAACTCGCGCGCTGAAACATCGAAACGGAGTTTAGTGACCAGCCACGATCTAATTAAAGATAATCAATCGTCGAAGGAACAAAACGATCGCTTGACCAAAAAAAAAAGGAGAAGGAAACAAAACTCTGTGGAATCGGATGAACGTTTAAACGGACTTGGAGAAACAGAAAAAGAAAAAGAAAACAAAAGGATAGAAACGTCGACGTCGTAAAGTGGGCAATAGCCTTCTTCGAGCAGCCTAATCAGATTTGCGCGGAAAAGTTACCTCTAAATCGTGCGGTCGGCTCGGCCGTTGTCTCGTCGCACGTGAGTTACCACACACGCACACACACACATACACACACATACGCACACATACATCGAGGGAGAGTCGGGAGAGGCAACAATGAAACGGCCCCGCAAGTTTCTAATCAGAGATGTGCCAATTTAAACGGCACAATGGCCGCCGGTTTCAGAATGAGCGAACGTATCGCCGTGCGTCGCGTCGAGTCGCGTCGCGTCGCGTCGCGCGTCGTCTGTTTCAGAATGAAGCTGGTAACTGTGCCAAATTTAATGACTCAGTGCCCCGTTACGTCAGCTTTGGGGCAACGCGTCACCTGGCTGTCACTCTGTCTCTGCTGATTTTCGAGGGATGAAGGGGCGGGGAAGGGGGTGGAGAAAGGAGGAATCCCCCGTGGAACCGAAGACTCCTTAACCACGTTCTCTCTGCCGATCGACGGAGATGGAATTATAAATAGAACCTGTGTCTGAGGGTAGACAATAGCGCCATCCGCAGAGTGGACGTATATAGAGGCTGCTACAAAAATAGAACGATAACACGAATTTAAAGCGTTCCATTCGACGGTGCAGATGCACCGAGCGCGCGCGCCGTGTTCTTAGGCCGGTGGATCGTTCGTTATGAAGAGACTTTTCTTTTAGCTTAATGAGAGTAAGGTTACCATCGCGGACCTAGATATGCCGCGCGAAACTTCCAGCCGAGTCGCCTGGGCGAAATACGTGAAATTCGTTTGCTCCGTTCGGATTTTGTTTCGGCTTGTCCGTTCCTATTTCGGGGAGTTTAATTGGGATCGTGTTTCCGAGGATTTAAATGGATGGAATTGTTTTTTCTTTTCTTTTTTCTTTTGTATCGTTTTGTAGATGCATTTTCTGAGTTTGCCGGGGATTAGACGGCAAATTTTCGTGCATTTATTAGAGGCGTTAAAATAAAGAGTTGCGTAGAATGCAATGTGATGAAGTTCTGTTCTTTCTGTTCTTTTCATTGTATTCCCCAATTTCGTGAATTTACATAGAGAAATCTGCTGAACATAACTTTAGATAATAATTCAACGCGCCAACTTATTCCTTGCCATTTGCAATTTTACTTTTACACCAACAAAGAGATTTGAAAAGAAGAATAAAAACACACGAAATCTATAAAGTGAATATCTTTCGATCGTGCTATTTTCCAGTAAAATTCCAATCGCATACCTCAAATGAAATACTCAGCGATGAAAACGCACGAAAATACGAACGTAATATCCTCCGATTGATCAGCTATCTCCGATTCTCTTCAAATGTCTGTAATTCAACCTTAAATAATTGCTCCAAGGTAGAAAGTTAATTTTCCATCTATTTCCTTGGTAATAGTTCTTCCAGCGTCTGGGAGCATTTTTCACCGGAGGAAAAGAAAAGAAAAAAAGAAAAAAAAAAAGAAAAATGAAGAAGATACGCGAAACAGATTGACGAAGGCCGTCGTGATCGATCATTGGACGCCGTCGTCGACGGCGGTCTTGCAACGAAAATGACGTTCCTTTGCAAACGAGCCTCGGCGTCGCCCCGTCACGGAACCGAATTATGTAATTAGATTCCAGAGGAGAGGGTGTTGATTAGAATCTTTGTTCGATGCGCGAACGAGCCCAGCTTTATTGCAACATCGCCGCCGGCTTCTCGCGGATCGTGCACGTGAATTTCCTGTTTTTTAATCAAGAGCGCACGAAAATAGCACCACGGAGAGAGAAGACTTAATCAGCCTGTCTAACGTGAGTGGATGAAAGGAGGTTCTATCTGATTTGAATAGAACGACGCGCTGGGATGGGGCTTCGGTAAGGTCACCGGCAAGACCTTGCCTATACTGAATTACGCGATCGTCAATTTCATGTCATGGATATACCCTTTATGTGTGTGTATATATATATATCGACTAAATAACTTTGACTCATCGAAAAGTAATTCCCTCTTAACACTTTGTTTTATATAACTGGCACTATACACTTTCCCTTTGACTGACGCATGTAATGCGATTATAGCAGCGATAGAGATGCGTGCACGGTCTTTTATAAACGTATAGGGTATCCAATTTTCATTTATAAATGCAAATCATTAATAACCTACGCGTTTTTATAAAAGATGGCTCGGATAGAAAGTGATTTGATGATTTTGAGGGGGTTGTAGTCTGGTGTAGTTTGTTCTTCCGCATAGAGAGGACACGTTAAATGGAACGAAGCGTAATTTTTAATTTGGCTATTTGACGAATCATTTATAAGAGATATTTCAGTTGTAACGATCATTTCTTACATCGAATCGCTGGAAAATAAATTTTATACCTGTTAATTTATCATTTCAAATGGTTATTGGAAAACTAATCAAGCTTCTTGCTGCTTCGTAGTGGGAAGAAAATTTTTAGAATTTTAATATGAATATACCATACTAGGTATATTTAATTTTCCGAATTTTCTCTCCGTGTTCTGTTTTAAATCAACAAAATCCTTGACCTTTTCCGTCTTTTTACACGCTCGGTAATTAAACAGAATATTTAACAAGACGTATTAAAATTAAAAAGAAAATATTAAAATTCATTTAAAATCACGAAACTTAATGTAAAGTATTAAAATTCGTGCCGTACATTATAAATGTGTTACCTTTGAAAGAGAAGAGAATAATTTTAAAAAGTCGCGTAAAGCAGTTAAACAAAAACGTAATGAACAAGATGATTCAGGGTAACGAGTGTCAAGTGTACGACGAAAAAGTCGAAGAAAATTGCCCAATCTACCTGGGTGGTTCGCTGCACGACAGAAATAATTGAATCAGCATATATCTAGGCGGGTGCACGTTCCTCGCGTTCCTGTTATCTCGACGAGGCGCATCTTACAAAGTGGTTTCACTTTATCATCGACTCTCGCTCGCGTGTTTCGCATCGGTTATTTATGTCCGGCGATGAGCGGAGAGAGGAGCCTTCGCCGAGGTCGGTCTCGCGCGTCGAATTTTCAATTAGATTTGCATAATGACCGTTTAAAAGATACTCTAGCCGGCTGGCTGGGTGAAAATTGAATTTACGCGAGAAGTTGCGTTCTCGGGCGACACTTTTGCTGGCTGCGAGTGTCTCCGGCGAT